TTTCGGAGGTCCCCAATTCGGATCGGGGACCTTCCCTTTCGGCTGGTCACCTGTCCACTTGGCAGCGTGAGCCTCAACATTGGGCGTTCTTCTTCGGCTTCACGGGTTCACCTCGGATCTCCCTTTTCAAGTTTCTTGCTTCCTTTGTCTTCTGCGCAGGTTTTGCTACCTTGTCCAGGCCAATTTGTTGTTTCCATGTGTGCTGCATTTGGCACTTTCCCTTTTCCCTGGTTGCATTTCCTCTGTCTATATTCTCCACATATCATGTCGCCTCCTTCCAACTTGCATTGGTTACTTCCATGTATTCTTCATTTGTCAAATGTGCCCCCTTCCAAGTTGCATTTGCTCTTTCTATTCTTCCTCCATTTGCAATTTTTGCCTCTTTTCAACTTGCATTTTGCTTTCCCATTTGTTCTGCAATTGTCATGTGTGCCTCTTTCAGATTTGCATTTTCCAATTCCACTTTTTTGCATTGTTTCTCCTTTTTTTTCAAGATGCATCCTAGAACAAGCGCAATTCGACAGCACAATCCTAGAGTTTGTTAAGGGATGTTAAGGGTCAGAATCACTGATGTTCCTTTTTTGAGTGTGAAACTTTATGAAACTGTTTTCCTAACCCAATCATGAGAGATATCCCATGCCAAAATCAGTGACCATATGCGGACACTCGGCCAGCTTCCCATCGTGACTCAGGCAATCCCCCATAAGTGGTAGCGCAAGGTATGGAAAAACAAAAACAAAAAATAGCCAGCAAAACACAAAGCACATGTGCTTGAAGCTATTGCCCCAATATAGCCGCCTTATTTTCATTCATTGGATTGATTTAAGGGAAAATCTTAACCGGAAACCATGGTTTTTACCATCAAATACAGGGCTTTCCGGTTAAAATTTTCCCATCATCCAATTCTATGATTCATCCAATTCTCTGCTTCTTCTTGGTTTCTCCATAGATTCAAAGACCTGAAGTTCCGAGAAGCTACTTTTGAAGCTCCGATTCCTGACAGTTCCCCAGCAATTCTATGGCCGAAGCTATTTCTAGATGGTGATCTGCCAAGAAAATGGTTTTTGATGTTGCCTTGGAATCTTAGTTGCTGGTATAAATAAATACCACATGGCTTGGAATTCCTTGAGGAGTCCCCACAAAAATGTTGGTATGAGTAGAGTAATTATTCTCATCATTTTGGACAAAGACCATGGTTTTCTCATATGGTACCTTCAGCAAACCCGAGATTCGTGATATTTACCCCCACTTTGCATATAAGAGTGATTATCCCATTTCACATCATTTCATCATGACTTTCATGACGTAATCCCATCCCCCAAGACCCTAAGACCCCCATTCTATGGTCCAATTTTTTTGTGGTTTCATCACCCTATACCCTCTGGTAAACATACGAAAAACTATGGAAAATCACCATTTTCTAGCTGGGTAAATCCACTATTTCGACTGGGCCATTTTCAATAGCTTTTTGTATGTTTACCAGAGGGTATGTTTTTTTTTCCATGGTAAATCTGCGGGGGATTGCCCCAAAGTCACCATACCGGGCCCAAAGTCGGCCTTCTTCCATGAGCTGTGAGTGCGCCTCCGTCAACGCCTGCGCGACCGGATGACCCTCTGGGAATGACGTTTACAGGTTGCTATTGAAAATGACCATAGAAATAGTTGATTTACCCATGAAAAATGGTGATTTTCCATAGTTATGTGGCTGTTTACCAGAGGGAAATAGCCATGGCCCATAGAAAGTTCGTTGATTTAGCCATGAATAGCCTGGTGGATCTTTCCAGTTCGTTATGTAAACGTTGAAAACTGGATGAATAAACCCATGGCTTATGAATTGGGGTGCTATTCAAAGTGTTAAATGAATGGTAGTCCCCTAATTGAACAGCCGTTTGGGGTTTATTAATCCAAACTGGAAACTAAGGAACATGGAAGCCAAAAACAGTGTGTCAATAGTGTACCGGTGCACTTGAGCTAACACAGCCATGGAAAATCACCATTTTTAATAGGTAAATCATCTATAGTCTATAAATGGCAATCTTCAATGGCTATGTTAGTTTGCTGGAGGGTAGAAGAATCAGCAGAGCTGTTCAGAATCTTTCAGGATTCTCATCTTGATCTTCTGAAGTAGAAGGATCAGTATGAGTGATTGTTGCAGTCATCATTAGCGTCATTTTTGGTGGTGTCAACGTCGACCATCGGCTACAGAGTCTTCCGCTCTTTCCGTTTGGGTCAATGCTTTTCCTCAAACCCCAGTCGACCCCCCATTCTGAAAGGAAAAAATCCACGATCAGGTGTCGGCTAAAGTAAAAACTTGATTTTGGCGAATCAACCAATTTCGAGCCGTGTTGAACTTGGAGTGGTTCCAGTTCCCTCAACTCCAAGCACTTTCGGAAAGTCCCACGGTTTATTCGGAAAAATCAGGGGTGACATCCGCAGCACCTCCAAAGCTGCCTGGAAGCTCACGAGATCTGCATCCTGGCAGTTTTTGGGTGATCAAAACCCAGAAGATGTGGAAGATGTGGGTAGAAAATGCCCAAAAATGCCAATCGATCCATGGACAAAATTTGTCAAACCTCTGCACAGAAGTGAACAAAATCTTCATATATATATAATTATATATATATATCCAGCTTGAGTGAAAAGTATCAAAAAGTACTTTAAGCGACATTTTTTTGTTTACCCATTGTGACATAATAAAAAAATACTCCTGATGGTCATCTAGTCCTGTCGCCACCGGAATCCATCCTTTGGGTCGCACGAGGGTCCCTGCTTCCACAACACAGGATGGTTTTTTCCCCCAGTTGTAAGTGGGTTAAACCCCATGAAAACATCCATTAAGTATAGCTACTATTAGTTATATCATGTTATATCTATCATAAACCATAGAATTCAGCCACTTTTCTGTTCGGCAACTGAACGCCTTCGCTCGACTGGGGGCCCCATCCTGCAACCATTAGATTCATTAGATATATCATCACCTCCCACATCTATTTGATTTCCGGAGATTCATATGATTCACCACTATCAGTACTTGGATTACCACTGTCAGTAGGTGAAACGTCCCATCCTTTGACGTCGTGAGAACTTAGCCAGTGCCGTTGGTAGAACTTAGCCAGAACATTGGCCATGGATGCTATATACATACATATATTATATGTATGTATGTATATATATATATATATGCATATTATGCACATTATATGTACGTATACGTATACATATACATATACATTTACATTTACATTTACATATACATATAAGTGTGTATCTATATATATACATGTATATATATATATCGTTTCCAGCATTTAGATTATATATACATCATAATCATTGGTTTTACACCCACGCTATCCCGCTGTCACCATCCAACGTCTCCTCGTCTGCCTCCAACTGTGCTTCCAGCTCCTTCTGAGCCTTGTTCAGCAACGATGTGCGTGTGTGTGTGTACCTCTATATATAGACATACGAAAAAATGTGTAGTTGTATAGAAACGGATATTTGGAGAGCTATATAGGTAGATAGATAGATAGATCGATAGATAGATAGATAGATAGGATAGGATAAGATTAGATTTGATTTGATTAGATTTAGATTAGATCAGATCAGATTAGATTAGATTAGATTTAGATAGATAGATAGATAGATAGATAGGTTCCAAATATGAGTCACATATGAATGGTAATGGGGGTAAATATGTTGAGAAATGGCAACAACATATAATGAATACAATGTGTATTCTTTTCAACCCCAGTCTTTCATACACCCCTGAGCTGCATTAACCCAAAAGAATCAAACAAACTAAACAAAAATCCGGGGTTGACGTGAACAAAATCTATGGGACCCATTTGAGTTTTTTTCCAAGTTTCAGATCTCCTCATAGCAAAATCAATTTGATCACTGGATCCCAAGGTTTTTTGTCGTATTTGCCCCAATCACTCCTCTATCAGCATGATAACCATGAATTCAGAAATATTGATATATCTCATTATTTTTAAACCCAAGTTTCATAGTTGAATCGTTAAATCAAATACATTCAACTATGATGTTAACTGTTAACCATCCGTAAAGTTGAATCAAATCCATTCAAATTTAGATACCCTCCGATTATTTAACATCGCCATGGTATAGATGGCCGAAATAGATGGTAAACACCGTTCTTAATAGCATGGTGTGGATCTTTCCAGTTCGCAAACTGTTCGTTCGTTTTACCAGGCCGGCGATGTTTTGTGCTTCAACCCATCGCCTGGCGCCAGTTCCGGGCTGCGGAAGCCGCCTTCAAACGGCCTACTCTTCCGAGCCATGGGGAGGTGCGACGCGGGGGAGATGGCTGCCATGATGGATACCATCTGGTTATGACTAACAGTTCGCCATGGAAAATCCCTATAAATGGAGGGTATTCCACATTATTTCATGGTGTTTACCCCTATATTTCATGGTAAAACAATGGTTATTCCATATATTCCATCTGGTTATGACTAACATAGCCATGGAAAATAGATAGCCCATAGAAATAGATGATTTTCCCAGCGAACGAAACCTCCATTTATTTGTGGGGATTTTCCATGGCGAACTGTTAGTCATAACCAGATGGTAGATAGGAAAAATGACACATCCATGGACATCAATAGATTGATGGGACATCAATAGATATCAATGGATTGATTTGAGAGAGTTTTAGTGTAGAGGAAATTGGCGACACGTTTTCCTATACCTCCAAAGGTGAAGGTAAACCTAAACCCTGAAACTCACTGGATTGATTTTGTTGGGAAAATCTTAACCGGAAACCCATCGGTTTTTACCATCAAATATAGGGCTTTATTTCCGGTTAATTTTTTCCCATCATCCAATTCTATGATAAACATGTTTCATGGGAAAATAGTTGGATGTTAACCAATATTGAGGACATAGGATACAACTTATAACAGTTTATCTATCTCTGGGTAAATTAGAATAGTTCAGTAATCTGAATTAATGCCATTTGGGGATGATTTCCCTTATTAACCATGATTCCCAGGGTTCGGTCGCAGTGAGGTCGTTATAATTTACCCAGATATCTGGTTGGTGGTTTCACCTTCAGCTCCCTGAAAATGTCTTGATAGTCCCAAACAAAAAAGGGGAAACCGGGTCGATATGTGAAATCACCAGGCAAAATACAAATCCAAGATATTCCAATATGACTAGGGAAGTGGCATAAGTAGAGTCACCTGTGGCTATCCCCCCAAAGATGTTCTGAAGTGGTTCAACTTAGATGTTGGTTAACCTTTATTGTTACCCAAATCGCCAGGTTTGACCTCCAGATTTGAGCAAAATCCATTGCCTCGGGCTGCCTGCAAACTCTGTTGCGCTTTCTCCTGCCCAGATTCGGCAGGCCAAGCTAGATTGGACGTGACCAGGCTAGATACAGAAAAAAATAGCCTGCCATAAAAAAGGACCAACTTGGTTTGACAGAGTCCAAAGAAACTCACGGATTGAACGTTATTTTGGTTTATCGGTGTCGCTCTTCAGCATCGTTGACACCACCGGATGCGACTTGTCGGGGATGGCCCGAAATGGCGCCAGGCCATTTCCTGGATGATGTTTCCAAAGGCCCGCATCACTTTTGACGTACCTTTTTCGGTGCTTCTATGTCATCTGACCTTTTGATACATGTTGTAATTGTATCCCAAATTCAATTAAATTTGATTGTGAAACCTTTGAGTTGATTTGTAATCTTATACAGGAACATATATATATATATATGTGAGGTCGCAGTGAGGTCGTTATAATTTACCCAGATATATATATATACATATATATATATATACATATGTGTGTGTACATGTGTTAAATTTCTTGCTGTACGCGTCAAAAAGCGTCTGCGCGCGCACTGTTTCAGCATACGCTTTTCTATGCGCTGCATGTCTCCACAGCAAAAAGCTTTCGCAAAGATGTCATATCTGGTTGCCATAGCACCATATAATGAATGGGAATTTAACATAGCTATTGAAAATCACCATTTTTAATGGGAAAATCCACTATTAATGGTCATTTTCAATAGCTATTTTGACATAACCAGAGGGTAATCAATGGGAATTTCAGGATTTAGTGCATGGATTAGCATAACATCCGTGCGGTTTATGGCTTCGTAGCCGCCAAAGCTACAACATCTATGACTGTCAATGGGAATTCCAGGATCCTAAAATGGAGGTACGTTAATACCATATAAGGCCAACTTTTGTGGGGATATCCCCTTACATAGGCCTGAAAAATAGGCCTTATATATGATAGGTACCTCCAATTGAATGGCCATTGACATTATGAGGCTGGATAATATGGTTGACATAGAAATATTGGTTGATTATTGGATAAGTGGTTAATAATTATTATAAAACATCCCCATATATGGCTCATATCACAAATTTGACAATTATCTCCCACATTTCATCACCACTATGCTGCATAGTAGTATCATATTCCCCCGTTCATACTAAACACCCCCAAAGATCAACCATGGTAAAAAGTAGGGGATGAAATGACTTATTGAAACCATACGATGGGGGTGCTTCATATGAATGGGGGATGGGATGATTGTTGTTACAGATTGTTACTATTGTTCCAGATTTATCATTATGATGACAGTTGGTATTAGATCACATATATTAGGCGGATGAAATTCTTATCAATTGTCATCAATCGCTAGTCATCTGTCCCCTTACATCACCATTGCATCACCAGAAACGCCGAAACCTTACATTACCGTAATCAAGTCATCGCCTAGAAATCCAATCATCATTAAGACCTACGAGATGAAACATCACCATTACCATCACCATAGATCTGGGTATGTTTTTAAATACTTCACTCACCTGAAATGTTGGGCTAGGGATGATTTCCCTCAAATTTCCCCATGATTCCAGGGTTCCCAGATAGATTCGTGATCCAATCCGTTGCCCGTGACTTCCTGCCATTCACCGGAGAGCTCAGCGACCTTGGCCTTCGAGGCTCTGCTCGGAATGGGTTCCGATGGGATCGAACATGGGTTCCATTGGAAAAGATGGGCATAGCTATGGCCATAGAAAGTTGGTTGGTTTACACATGAATTTGATGCTGGATCTTTCCATAGTTTTTTAAAGTAAACGTTTACCAGAGGGTAACTGGGATATCATGGATATCATCTTAGCAATGGATACTGGATATCATAATATGCAAATATGGATATAAACTGGGATATGATACGGAAAGTTATGCCATAATTTGGATAACTGGGATATTATGATATCATGTTAGCAATATATAATATTAAAAAAAAAAAACATCCCCAAGGACTTACCATTTTCATGGCTGCTATAAACCATACAGTGGGAGACCAGCAGTTAGAATTTGGAATCAATGGATTTCCTTTTAACCTAAAAAATCCAGGATTATTTTTTTTACGACAGTTAGAATTTCCCGAAAAAAAAACCACCACAGATAGAATATGAACATATTCACAAAGAAAACAAACAAATTTTACCGTACCAACCGACCTTATTGAAAACTTTGGCCAACACAATCTACTGCATGTGTCTATTTCAGCATGTTGGAAAACGGGACAGAACCCATGCAAGAACAAGCATGGTGAAAATTGCATTGCGCAAGTTGTTTGCTGGTATTTTGTGCGGTTGTGTGGTGCTGCTGGTTCTGGTGGTGAAGTGAGTGATGAAAAAAACCATCCAAACACATCCATATTCTAACTGCACTTTTCACCACCAGAATTCACAAAGAAAACAAACAAGTTTTACCGTACCAACCAACCTTATTGAAAACTTTGACCAACATAATCTACTGCATGTGTCTCTTTCAGCATGTTGGAAAACAGGACAGAACCCATGTAAGAACACACATGGTGAAAACTGCATTGCGCAAGTTGGTTGCTGGTATTTTGTGCGGTTGTGTGGTGCTGCTGGTGTTGGTTGCGAAGTAAGTGAGGGAAAAAACCATCCAAACCTATCCATATTCTAACTGCACTTTTCACCACCAGAGTTCAAAAAGAAAACAAACAAGTTTTACCGTACCAACCGACCTCGGGAAAACTTTGGCCAACATAATCTGCTGTAGGTGTATCTTTCAGCATGTTGGAAAACAGGACAGAACCCATACAAGAACACACATGGTGAAGATTGCATTGCGCAAGTTGTTTGCTGGTATTTTGTGCGGTTGTGTGGTGCTGCTGGTGTTGGTTGCGAAGTGAGTGATGCAAAAAAAATCCAAACCTATCCATATTCTAACTGCACTTTTCACCACCGGAATTCACAAAGAGTACAAACAAGTTTTAACGTATCGACCGACCTTGTGAAAGCCTTGACCAACATCGTCTACTGTACGCGTTTCTGTCACCACGTTCGAAAACAGGACAGGATCCATGCAAGAACAAATATGGTCAAAACTGCATTGCGCAAGTTGTTTGCTGGCATTTTGTGCGGTTGTGTGGTGCTGCTTGTTTGTTGCGAAGTGAGTGAGGGAAAAAAACCATCCAAACCTATCCATATTCTAACTGCACTTTTCACCACAAGAGTTCACAAAGAAAACAAACAAGTTTTAAAGTACCAGCCAACCTCGGGAAAACTTTGGCCAACATAATCTGCTGTATGTGTCTCTTTCAGCATGTTGGAAAACAGGACAGAACCCATGCAAGAACAAGCATGGTGAAAATTGCATTGCGCAAGTTGTTTGCTAGTATTTTGTGCGGTTGTGTGGTGCTGCTTGTTGGTTGCGAAGTGAGTGATGGAAAAAAAACATCCAAACCTATCCATATTATAACTGCACTTTTCACCACCAGAATTCACAAAGAAAACAAACAAATTTTACCGTACCAACCGACCTTATTGAAAACTTTGGCCAACACAATCTACTGCATGTGTCTCTTTCAGCATGTTGGAAAACGGGACAGAACCCACGCAAGAACAAACATGGTGAAAATTGCATTGCGCAAGTTGTTTGCTGGCATTTTGTGCGGTTGTGTGGTGCTGCTGGTGTTGGTGGTGAAGTGAGTGATGAAAAAAAACAATCCAAACACATCCATATTCGAACTGCATTTTCCACCACCAGAATTTACAAAGAAAACAAACAAGTTTTACCGTACCAACCAACCTTATTGAAAACTTTGACCAACATAATCTACTGTATGTGTCTCTTTCAGCATGTTGGAAAACAGGACAGAACCCATGCAAGAACAAACATGGTGAAAATTGCATTGCGCAAGTTGTTTGCTGGTATTTTGTGCGGTTGTGTGGTGCTGCTGGTGTTGGTTGCGAAGTGAGTGAGGGAAAAAAACCATCCAAACCTATCCATATTCTAACTGCACTTTTCACCACAAGAGTTCACAAAGAAAACAAACAAGTTTTACCGTACCAACCGACCTCGGGAAAACTTTGGCCAACATAATCTGCTGCATGTGTCTCTTTCAGCATTTTGGAAAACAGGACAGAACCCATACAAGAACAAGCATGGTGAAAATTGCATTGCGCAAGTTGTTTGCTGGTATTTTGTGCGTTTGTGTGGTGCTGCTGGTGTTGGTGGTGAAGTGAGTTTCAAAAAACAATCCAAACACATCCATATTCGAACTGCATTTCCACCACCAGAATTCACAGAGAAAACAGACAAGTTTTAAAGTACCAGCCAACCTTATTGAAAACTTTGACCAACATAATCTACTGTACGTGTCTCTTTCAGCATGTTGGAAAACAGGACAGAACCCATGCAAGAACAAACATGGTGAAAATTGCATTGCGCAAGTTGTTTGCTGGTATTTTGTGCGGTTGTGTGGTGCTGCTGGTGTTGGTTGCGAAGTGAGTGATGAAAAAAAAAAATCCAAACACATCCATATTCTAACTGCACTTTTCACCACCGGAATTCACAAAGAGTACAAACAAGTTTTACCGCATCGACCGACCTCGTGAAAGCCTTGACCAACATCGTCTACTGTACGCGTTTCTGTCACCACGTTCGAAAACAGGACAGGATCCATGCAAGAACAAATATGGTCAAAACTGCATTGCGCAAGTTGTTTGCTGGCATTTTGTGCGGTTGTGTGGTGCTGCTTGTTTGTTGCGAAGTGAGTGAGGGAAAAAAACCATCCAAACCTATCCATATTCTAACTGCACTTTTCACCACAAGAGTTCACAAAGAAAACAAACAAGTTTTAAAGTACCAGCCAACCTCGGGAAAACTTTGGCCAACATAATCTGCTGTATGTGTCTCTTTCAGCATGTTGGAAAACAGGACAGAACCCATGCAAGAACAAACATGGTGAAAATTGCATTGCGCAAGTTGTTTGCTAGTATTTTGTGCGGTTGTGTGGTGCTGCTTGTTGGTTGCGAAGTGAGTGATGGAAAAAAAACATCCAAACCTATCCATATTATAACTGCAGTTTTCACCACCAGAATTCACAAAGAAAACAAACAAATTTTACCGTACCAACCGACCTTATTGAAAACTTTGGCCAACACAATCTACTGCATGTGTCTCTTTCAGCATGTTGGAAAACGGGACAGAACCCACGCAAGAACAAACATGGTGAAAATTGCATTGCGCAAGTTGGTTGCTGGCATTTTGTGCGGTTGTGTGGTGCTGCTGGTTCTGGTGGTGAAGTGAGTGATGAAAAAAAACAATCCAAACACATCCATATTCTAACTGCATTTCCACCACCAGAATTCACAAAGAAAACAGACAAGCTTTAAAGTACCAGCCAACCTTATTGAAAACTTTGACCAACATAATCTACTGTATGTGTCTCTTTCAGCATGTTGGAAAACAGGACAGAACCCATGCAAGAACAAACATGGTGAAAATTGCATTGCGCAAGTTGTTTGCTGGTATTTTGTGCGGTTGTGTGGTGCTGCTGGTGTTGGTTGCGAAGTGAGTGAGGGAAAAAAACCATCCAAACCTATCCATATTCTAACTGCACTTTTCACCACAAGAGTTCACAAAGAAAACAAACAAGTTTTACCGTACCAACCGACCTCGGGAAAACTTTGGCCAACATAATCTGCTGCATGTGTCTCTTTCAGCATTTTGGAAAACAGGACAGAACCCATACAAGAACAAGCATGGTGAAAATTGCATTGCGCAAGTTGTTTGCTGGTATTTTGTGCGTTTGTGTGGTGCTGCTGGTGTTGGTGGTGAAGTGAATTTCAAAAAACAATCCAAACACATTCATATTCGAACTGCATTTCCACCACCAGAATTCACAAAGAAAACAGACAAGTTTTACCGTACCAACCAACCTTATTGAAAACTTTGACCAACATAATCTACTGTACGCGTTTCTGTCACCACGTTCAAAAACAGGACAGGATCCATGCAAGAACAAATATGGTCAAAACTGCATTGCGCAAGTTGTTTGCTGGTATTTTGTGCGGTTGTGTGGTGCTGCTGGTGTTGGTTGCGAAGTGAGTGATGAAAAAAAAACATCCAAACCTATCCATATTCTAACTGCACTTTTCACCACCAGAGTTCACAAAGAAAACAAACAAGTTTTAAAGTACCAGCCAACCTCGGGAAAACTTGTATCTGTGAGCTAAAAAAAAATCATATTCTATCTCCTGGTCTGCTTGAGTAATCTATATGTATGATAAGTGCAAATTATTGCAACTATGTGTTAGTTTATCATGTTGGAGGTGCGATTCTTGGATTTGGGTTTGGAGTCTAGACAATTGGATGATCAATTGTTTTGGGTATGTATGATTCATAATGCTCATATTCTAACTGCACTTGTGCCATATTCTAACTCCAGATGCGTTGGCTTTTAGAACAGTGTCCGTAGACCGTATTCTATCTCTGGTAAAAGATTTTTCATATTCTAAGTGCCTGTCCCTCACAGTATATCCGTCTGGGTGGTTTATAACATTGGCTTTACCAACATCATTGGCGTTGAGATAAGCGGTGAAAATCCCTACCGAACATGGCTGGAAATGGTGGATTGTAGCCCTACCGAAGAGGGCAGAAAAACCAACCACAATTGGGATATGGAGATATCAATGGGATATACTTTAAATGGGGAAAATACAAAACATTGTGAAACATTTGGGTAAACAATGATAAAAACCACTGTTTCGGGTGCTGAATGCCAAAGAAGTTCCATTCCATAGGATGATAAAGAGTGGTGATAATTCGGGAAAATGTTGAAAAATACTTGTGAAAGTTAGTTTTGCAAACAATCAATAGTAGGCAAATGACCATTGCGCTGAACAAAACGTTGCAGGTCCATCCAGAAGCATGGATTGAAATCCGACTGGCTAATTCTGGGTCCATGTTTAAGCCCAAACATCATGGTTTCCATTCGTTCTTGGGATTCCCTAAATGGAAAGGTTCAAGGATTTTACCAGATATGGACGGTCAGGCTTTTGAAAATTGGCATCATGCTTGCCATCCGCCAGTTTGCGAGGTCATGTTCCGGATGTGAATCACAGATTTTCACAGTACAATCCCTGGCTTCAAGAGGTCAAATCATTACCCTCTGGTAAACTAACATAGCTATTGAAAATGGCCATAGAAATAGTGGATTTTCCCATTAAAAATGGTGATTTTCCATAGTTTTTTGTATGTTTACCAGAGGGTAGTTGTCTTTCAATTTCGAGATCTTTGCGGCCTCAATCCCCTTTCTGAAATCACTGAAACATCCGCAGTCTTGCGGCCGAATTTTCTGAGTGCCGCAAGCGGCTTTGTGAAACAACGGCTTTTCTTTTGAGGCTCAGGGGAAAACACCCCGATGTTGACACCCTGGGACCCAGTTTGGCATGTCATCCCCCAACTGGCTTCGTATCTCACCAGAAAGTGCTTAAAAAAACTCCAATCGTTTGGACCACAAATCATCTACAAAGTGCGGTTTCCCGATTAAAAAAAAAAACAGAACATCAACGAATCTACACAGTTTGGTTAGAAAAAAATGGAACGGTTTCCCGATTTTCACCTGACGAAATCCTCCCTGAAAACCGCAGCCACACCTCGCTCATCCTCAAGGCGGCGAGCAGCTCTGTGGGCTCCATGATCGCCTCGAACTTTTCGCGAGATCAGCGGGAGAAAAATGAATGAAACTTGCACATCTAAGATCTGATCATATCTAATCTATAGGCTATATATACAGTAGACTATATATAGACTATATATCGGCTATATATAGGCATACTATATAGATGGATGACAAGAAAACTGTTGGATCTATATCAACCTACATGGTAAGTGGACCAGGAAAGAGTGGGGCTTCGCAAAAATTAGACGTTTGAGCCTGTAAAAACTCTCGATTGGACATGACTTTGCAACGCCGGTGATCGCCCTGCCCCACTTTTGCGTTGATATCGCTTTCATCCCGTCCATCACTGTACCGTATTTCGCCTCGGGCAATCAAACATGTTTCTGGGAAATATCCATCAATATGGATTTTGCCGCTAACAGCTCCACTTATCAAAATCATTGATCAATTTTCAAATATCAACCCCTCCAAATATCTGATGATGTTGGCTGGAAAATATCAAAGTTTGCCATGTTTGATCAAGAGAAACCCCCCTTTATCAAAAGCTGGCGGTTTAATGTGGCCTGGATCCAGTGAAATGAGAAAAAATTGGCCCACCCCATGATTGATCAAAATCTTGTATGAAATTGTCACAATTTCGGGCATCCCCGGAAAAAAAAAAAAAAAACGATGTTCCGGAGCCCAAAAATCATATTCTGAAGACTCTATCATACTGTATCTCCCCACGAAGTGGTTTGAAAAATGATCCGTCTTAACTGATGACCATGAACCTCCAACGAACATCACGACCATGCCAAACAGGAGTTGAAAGACTACTTGCCCTCTGGTAATTTGTTACATAGCTATTGAAAATGGCCCAGTCGAAATAGTGAGTTTTCCCATGAAAAATAAGGTGATTTTCCATATAGCTATGTAAACGTTTACCAGAGAGTACCTCTGAAAACCAGAGATCCTCTTATGGTTTCTCACTGTTTGGGATTGCCGTCCCAAATCTACTGGTTTTGATCTGGTGCTTGGTTAAGGTTGATCACATGATGTCCCAATATGTCCCAATGTTCCCCAAAATTCATTCTTTTATGACCCTATATCCCATTCCAACCAACAACAAAAAAAATCGATGATATGTCATCAAATTGGGATGGTTACCATCACTTTGACCCTAATGATGACGATAAAATGTAGGCAAACTGGGATAAGATCATCAAAATATTGATATACCCGCGGGTAAACTAACATAGACGTGGAAAACCAATGGTTTCTAGCTTGGAAATGATCTGCAAAATTTCTGCGTTCTCCACATCTATGTAAACGTTTACAGGGGGTAATCACCATTGATCACCATGAATTTTCATGATTAATCATCATGTTCCCTTCATTTCTCCTACATTTTCACCCAGATATCTCCAGATCTCCCCTCTTTGCTGCGCCGCGCTCGCCGCGCTCGCCGCGCTCGGCGCGCGGCCGGCTCTGGTTCGGCGCGCCTCATGGAGCTCCTGTTGCATGGCGCTCTGCAAGAGTTGCTGGAGCTCCTCGAAACCTCGGAAGGCCAACCTTGGAACTGTCTATGTATATGGTAGATCGTAGATGTATAATGAGATATGCTTGGTATATGGTTCACCATTATTAACGGTGTTTTTTAACCATCATTAACCTCTATATATATATAATGTAGATAGATAGATGTATAATAATCCTAAAGTAGATAGAATGTCCAATATTCTATCTACTTCGGGATGACTCAGGATGACCAGATATATACATATATATATATGTGCATAGTGCATATATCTCGAAATATATGTATATATATAGTGTATCTATCAAGTATAGATATGTACAAGTGATACTCAAATATATGTCAACCTTGATACTTGATAGATTGGGCAAATATCTCGAAATAATACTAGCAACAATGATGATAGTAATGTACTTTTTATAAACACATGTATCAAGCTGGAAATAATGAACTCTATATATATACATAGACATTATATATACATGCCAATACATTCCATCTTTGACAGAAAAAAGTCATCCCACTGATGTGCCGTTTTTTTTGGGGGAAGATCATCGAGAGAAAATTAAATTAAAATAAGTGATAATAAATCCCTAAATTAGTTGATAATGCATCCCATACTTTAGGGACAATGATAAATGAATCCCTAAATTAAGTGATTTAAGTTTGTAATACACGATGGTTTTTCAGTTTCAGGCACGTTTTCAGGAAGAAATAGGATAATAGGACACAAATGATGATAATGTCAACTAATTAAAACAAGAAGTTTGGGTACATTCGGGGAAAGCACTTTAAAAAATGTTGAATTCAGCTGGTGAAGCCAGCAGAAATTTGGAGGATGCCATTGATCCACTGGTGAATCACCACCCATTGTAGTTGATGGTTGATCATCATGTTCAAGATTAAAAATTGTTTTTTGACATTACCATCAAGAAAAAACTATATCATTGTGTTAGATGGTTTGTCTTCGATGGTTTATTCGAAAAATTGTCAGACAAAGCCATTTGAGCCATTAAAAATTCCCCTATCCCATCTCATTTTACTAGTTGGTTGATAGGTTTCCGGTTATCATAATCCCCAGTAAATTTTAAACCAGGTAGTATAATCCCCTATAGCAATCAGTTTACCAGGGTATTTTTAATGGCTCATCTATCACTTTCTAAGTGGAATGAACCTGCAAGCAGGTTCTTTGACTGACCCTGGCTGGTGGATAGAATGGGGAAGGATAGCGGGAAGGGAAATATGGGCGCGTCCTGGTTGATAGAATGGGAAAATCATCTGCCTTCCATGACATTCCTAAAAAAAGTGGATGTTTTAATGGGCAAATGATCTAGAAATGTAGAAATGTCCCATTGCCATATTTGATTACCAGAGGGCAGACATTCTTCCAATGACGATTATATAAACATGATTAGACCCATGGGGGCATTTCAATACGCGTTCTGGTGAACATTCATCATTTTTTTGGACCAACCCCAATGGGAAACTCATCTAAAGATTAAAAATAGGGGATATTCCACACACTCCAAGGTGTAACTAGCCCGCTTGGGACGTGGAATTGACATGCAAACAAAAAGTGCAGAGCTGACTTTAGACCCAGTACTCGTGGAAATATCATCAAAATGTCAGACATTTCAAGACCATGTAACATGGCGCAGCATCACCCAGTTTAAAAACAACAGAGCTATTC